GAGAGATGTTGGCTTAAAGCATCCACCACCCAGCAGCTGCAGCCACAGGCTGAGGAGTGATCCAGCAAAAGCAGCATGAATTTGGCAGGGGGAAGGACACAGAGGTGCATGGGAGATGCTAAACAGAGAGAGCTTTATTAGGCACTTGCCTTTCCTAATGTTTTCCCTGCCTCCCAGGGAAAAGCTGGTGCAGGCACAGTAGGAATCAAGCCCCATTGAAGCTGCCACATTCACCACGCTGGGATATGGCTCTCAAGGCAGCTCCAGCTGGGGTGACTCAAACTCACCAGATTTCATTAGAAAATAGAGCTGATTGCGGAACTCAGCCCCAGGGATGCTGGGCTGGGATGTTTGCTGCCAGGCAGAACCAGGACACAAGCCCACCTGAGCATTTCCCAGAGCAAATAGGAGCTGTAACATTACAAAATGCCCTGAAAATGAAATTAAAGGAATGGTAAATTGCGCATCCCTCAGCCCTGCAGTGGGAGGAATATCTTTCATGTACACAGCTGCAGCCTTTGGAGTCCCCAAACGCTGGGGGAAAGAGGCAGCTGTGGCACACAGACAAAAGGGGATTTATCAAGGAGTGAGCTATCAAAGGGTCCAGGCTGAAGCATCACACAGATCCCTGGGGAGGCAAATACCCACTCCACTCAGTCTTCCTCTGTTTTCTGGGCTTGCCTTAGGTACTGCTGGGGAAGCTGCTTCCTGCAACATGAGTCTTACTAACAGCATCACTTCAGCTGCTTCCTGGCCATGCCTGGAGAAACACAAGACGTTAAACACTTCTTCAGTGCCAGCCAGAACGAGACACGGTTCTTCCTCACCCCCTTTTTTTTCTCTCCCAGCAAGACCTGTCTCAATTCTAGTTCCCTTCATCACATTTGGAGTTTAATTGGCTGAGTTCAGTCTGACCTGGTCTCCAAACAGCACATTTCCCACACATTTTGTGCAAGCAGGCTGCTGCAAGGAGGGAAACAAGCTTTTGAGGGGCCTTTTTCCCTGTTCAAATGCAGGGAGGAAAGGCTGCATGCAGGGTTGTATCTAGCTAGATTAACCCTGAGGAGAGGATGTCTTGGGAAAGATAACAACAGAGTAAAACTTAACAATTCCGAGTGAAAATATTTTAGGCACATATGGCAGTAGTGCACAAAATGCTGCCTGCTGCAGAAATAAGTGAGATGAGCGTATTTTACGCATTTTCTGCAGAGGAAAGAGGTAGAGACTAAAAAGCCCAGGGGTTACAGACTATTCTTCCAAGGAAGCAAATGTCTGGGCAATCACTTTGCTCCTGCCAGCCCTTCCCAAATCCCTCCCAGGCTCACCTGCACACGGGTTTGTGTTTCTATATATGCATTTTTACAGACTAATATGGTTTTCTAGTTGATCTCTGAGCTTGTATTTACATATATACCTTCTCCTCCCACACTAGCCTGGCATGATAGGGGCGCAAGAGTTAAGGGAATTCAACCAACTTGAATTTAACTGGCACAAATTTGCGCGTTCCTTAACAGCCATTTGAGCCCTTGACACACAGGAGTATCCATCAGCTTCTCTGAGCAACCTCACCACCCTCACAGGGAAGAATTTCTGCCTATTATCTCATCTAAACATCACCTCTGGCAGTGTGAAGCCGTTCCCCCTTGTCCTCTCTGTGTCCAGAGTCTCTCTCCAGCTCTCTTTGGGTGAAGGTCGGGGTGGGACTGTGGCTTTCTCCATCAGAGTGAAGGTAGCAGATCATCTGGTTAGTGGTGCTGTGCCAGTACTGATCCTGCCTGTCCTCCTCTGCACCGCCCCCAGGGATGCTGGAGAAGCTGAATCCAGGGCTGCAAACCCAATTTGAAAGCACCTGTTGAGGGAGGGCTGAGTGACCTACTAAGGCTGATTGAACAGGAGGCGGTAGGTAATGTTTACCAGCTAAAGGGAAACAGGAGCAAAAGGAGATTAATTAATGCCTGCCTGGAGCCTGCGGGCTCTGTGAAAGGAGACATTTAGTGCCACAAGCTGCCTACTTCATCTCAATAAACTCTTAACCCTGGCCTGTAATTATGTGGATACTCCTGTTAGTGCTATAAGTCTTTCCCCGATAATTAGAGTTGCATCAAATCAGCCTTTTAAGCTCCCAAATCCATGGGGATGTTTTGGTGCCTGAAGCTTCAGTTTCTCTTTCTCTTATTCCTTGATTAATAGCTTAATAGAGATGATGTTGAAACTGCTGTCAAGACTGGGAAGGTCACTGCTGGTGGCAACTCTGGTAAATTTTGTTCTCCTGAGCATGTAGTGGTAGGACAAGTGTCAAACTGACAGAGAGGAAGTTTAACTTAGATATTAGGGATAAATTCTTCCCTGTGATGGTGCTGAGGCACTGGCACAGGTTGTCCAGAGCAGCTGTGGCTGCCCCATCCCTGGAAGTGTCCCAGGCCAGGTTGGATGGAGCTTGGAGCAACCTGGGCTGGTGGGAGGTGTCCCTGCCCATGGCAGGAGGTGGACCTGGGTAGTCTTTAAGGTCCTTCCAACCCAAACCAGTCTGGGATTTTATGATTCTATGATCACTCTTAATTTGTGATAATGGCACGGGAAAAGCATCTTTGTTAACAGCCCCAGAGGAGCCAGTGAGTGGATCTCCAGCAGCAGGGTTGGAGGAGGCTTGGCAGGAGCTGATTGCCACCAAAGGCTACAGGTAAAGCCCAAAGGTGACAGGGGAACAGCTCTGCTGAGACAAGCAGGGTCCTTCCCTCTTCAGTTTGCATCTGTACTTGGCTGTTAGTGCTCATCAGCAGCTCCACAAGCACTTCAGCATCCCTTTCATATCCACCTCCTTGGATGCCTACCAATGCCTCAGCTTCCCTTTCATCCGGAGGAACTAGATTTGTCACTCACTTAACATCATATTCTTGTTTAATTTGGAAAAAGCCTTTCCTCCCTCCCTTTTTTTTTTTGCTTAACTGGTGAAGTTACCATGAATAATTCAGGCCCAAATGCAAGTGCCTTATCCATTGGGAAGCCAACAAATCATGCTTTGGGCTGTTTATAGAGGAATCTGTGGCTCCCACGACACAACCCTACAGCCCTGCCTGTCCCTTCATGTCAGAGGTGAGTCACTGCTCCTTGCCTGGAACGAGGGTGCAGAGCTGAGCTGTTCCCACCCTGGGCAAGGTTTGGTCCCTAAAAGACTTTCCTTAACTCCCTAAGTTGAAGACAAGTGGGGGTAAGCACTTTTGTCTGTAAGTTTACACACTGCATAGACGTAGAAGATGACTAATCAGGAAGATCTATGAAAAACAATCATTATTTATGTGCATCAAGGGGAAAGAAAAAAAGCAAAATGATATAGAAAAATGTCAGTGAGCAAATCCACCATGAAGAGTTATTAAAAAATCCATGTGAAGCTCAGCCTGGTGAGAGCTGTGCTACTAGGGAACACGTGGATGGAGCATATCACTGTTTTCTGGAGAAGAAAGAGGGAATAAACAAAGGCATCAAAGTGTTTGAGTCTTTTGCCAGCATAAAATAAGATTTATGCTTTGAAAATCACACACTTATCCCCCAGCTATAATCACAACACCACAGTTCTGCTCCAGGTGTTGGCAGAAGGAATGGGAGCTGGGATATAAAAGGGAAATAGGAGCTGGGATATAAAAGCCCCTTGTCATTTTGGTGACCAAATTAATAATTTGGTTTTAGCAAATTGCTGGGCTTTGCAAGCCTAAAACATTGTGATTTGTGACAAAAAGCTATCACCTTTCAGGAAGCTTAATGGTTAGGGTTTTGTATCAGTCTCATTGCTCTACCCTCAGTGGATTCGCTTTGGAACCATCCAGGAGACCTGCACCTTATTTGTAATGTAAAATTTGTAAATATAATGTTTTTTAAAGGAAAACACTCAAATTCATGGAAATTGTGAAATAGGAGTCAGCCTGTTGATGGCTCAGAGCCATTCTGCAGCCTGTCCAGCAATGGCAATGAGCATGTGCTCTCCCCTTAGCATGGTGAGAGCTCCTGGGCATTGCAACACTGGGAATAAAATCAGGGGATAAGTCTTTGAATACCAGTTTAGCACTCCAGCAGGGGCTCTGATAGAACTGGGAGAAGTAATGGTAGGACTCGAAGATCTTAGGGGTCTCCTCCGCCTTGATGATGCTATGATTCTCTGAACTGGAGGACAGTGTACACACTGAATACCATAGGGCTTGCACCTTGCCAAGAAATTTTTCATGGAATCATTAAGGTTGGAAAATACCTCTAAGGTCATCAAGTCTAACAGATAACCATTTGCTTGAGCAGTTGTTATTGAATATGTTACTATGTTACTCTTTTGATCAAAGCTTGGAGACCAGATTGTCCACCAAGAGGGGCTTTCACCCCTCTGAATTCCCTGGCAGATGACTCCAGGCTGGGTTCTCACCCCCTGCTCTCGTTGCAGAGGTGCCAACAGAGAAGTTGGCCTCCATGGCATCACTGCGGAGCCTCAACCTGCGTGACAACCCCGTGGGCCCCGAGGTGCGACTGCTGGTCCGGCCCCTCGTTCCCTTCGACCTGCTGCTGTCACCAGAGAAGTCCAGCCCCAAGGCCTGAAAGGGTCTCAGAGTGCCTGGGCGAGCTGTGCTGAGGGGTGACTGCCCCTAGAGTGGTTGGCTTAGGTCAGTCCCTGCTGCAGTTCCTGCCCCAAATCCGCAGCGAGGCAGCCACTCCCTTGTGTTGCCTTAATTAAAGCAAGCAGTGGGGCTTCTCCATGAAGGGATGGCTCTTCCAAATTCCAAGCCAAGGAATCACCCACTTATGTGTTTTGGAGCTGCAATGCATGTGGTGTGAGGTTTGGGTAGAACTGGGGGGAGTTGGATGTTTGGCAGCGTCCCTCCCGCCCAGGCAGGAATGGGGAGCAGCTGGGCTGGTGGGAGACATCCCTGGAGTTGTGAGGGTCTCCCCCAGAATTGCTGACATGGTGGTGTGCCAAGTGCCTGATTAAATGCTTTTCTGTCACATCAGGAGGTTTGTATCTGCTTAAATTTGAATTATCAGTCTTCTCCTTAAAGAAGTCCTTTTGCATATGCCCACAGCTGCTTACTGCAGGGCAGCACCCAGACCTGGATTCTTCCCAGACCCAGGCAGTATTTTCCTGAAAAAAATCCTATGTTTTCCAAGGAATTTTTTTCCCTTTCTGTTTTTTCACCATGGAAATCAGTGTCCCAGTGCCAGTGGGTTCACACACACAGATCATCCTGTGGGTGTCCCCAGACACATGCACCCACCTCCCGAGTCCACAGGACATACTATTTCCCCTCCCAGGAAGAAATGTCCTGGAGAAAGAGGGTCCTTAGAGGCAGGGAGCCTGCTGCCAAGCACAGTGGTGTCCTTTAGCAGCTGCCTGCCTGCAAAAGAACAACTCCTGGGAGAAACCACAGGTGTTATCTCCAAATGGCTTGTTTAAATGTCTCCTGTGTTTGCTCATATGGGTTTTCAAGGGACAAACACTTCCTAATGGTCCGTGCTGGCTGGGGACAGCCAGGAATGGTTAATCCGGTAAATATTTGACTTCTTGTCTTGCCAAACTTTGGTAAAATACTGTGGTAAGACTGGGGTTGTTGATGTTGGGAATGACGGAGGAGCTGGAGTTGCGTGGAGCAGCTTGGAGCCAAGATCAGCATCCCTAAAGATCATGTGGCTTTTCCCTACTGTGTGGGGTGATGGATGGGAGTCCTCCCCACTCGTGTTGAGGCTCCTGGCATGTTTCCCCCCCCCGGGATGGACAAGAGCACTGCTGGGGACACCAGCCATCAGCTGCCAGCATCCGCGTGGGGACCTCGGGGGCAACGAGGGGGA